AAGCCATCTGGACCCTCGCGCAGTACGACGTCTACGGGCGGGAGCAGGACATGGAAATGCTACGCGAGACCGACATCATTTGGGATGGCCGATGCGCGTGCCTCCTGTTTGGCATCTCGGCCCGAGGCGAGGAGGGCAAGACGGGCAGCAATCAAGGGGTCGTCATCCGCCGCGGCACGGTCGCGAGCCTCATCCTGGCCCTGAAGGACGTCAAGAAGACTGTCACGGGGCCCATCTTCGGCCCCAAGCAGGCAGGCTTCCGCAAAGAGTGGCACCGCGCATGTCGCTCGCTTGGGATGCCCTGGGCGCCGCCTCCGCACGGGCTCCGCCACTCGGGGCCCAGCGAGGACGTGGCCCGAGGACGGGCCAGCCTAGAGCAGGTGCGGAGGGGGGGCAGGTGGAAGGCATTGTCCAGCGTCCAACGGTACTCCAAGACGTTCACCCTCACACAGTTCCGTGCAAAAATGCCGAAGAAGGTGCTGGACGTGGGCTCCCGTGCGACCTCAGACCTAGCTGCCGAGATACTCCGTGCGATAGAGTCCCGCACCAACTACAGCAAGCAGCAGCAGCAGCTGGTCGACGGCATCAGGACGAATCTGAAGACGAAGAAGGCGAAAGATGTCGCCGCAGAGCTCTTGATGCTGGGACCCACCACAAAGCAGAAGCAGAAGACCACCACCAACAAGAAGTCCACCAAGGCTGACACAAGCTGCCCAGAGTCCGACGACCTCTACTCCGACGAGACCTGGGGAGAGGGAGCTGGATGGTGGACAGAGTGAGGCGACAGGCCAAATGGGGGCGCCCCATGTGGGCGGCTAGGGGCGCCATACGAGGGCCCCCTAGAGGTGGTGGCCTACGGGCGCGACCACCACCCCACGGTGAGCTTGGCCGTTCGCATGAATTTCTTCGTTGTGGCCCCCGCCCGCCCGCCCTGGCCACAACATGTAGTTTTTGTCGGCTACGCCAGGCACATCAAATGCGGGAGTGGGACTGAGAATCTTCTGATGCCGATCGCAACTCGAGTTTTTGTTGGTTGTGATTTGGTTGAGGTTGTGTGGATCTCAAATCGGCCTCCCGATGAATGATTATATCTATGTGCATATATATATATATATATGGCCCGTCTGGGCCCTCGTGCAGTGTGTGGTTGAAACAGTACTTCCTCATAGGCCGCTTCGCGGCGTTGCTGCACGTCCTGCTGTCAGATACTGGGTATCCTGTCAGCTTCGCTGGCCCCCCGCCTGCCCCCTGAGACGTAGCGATAATGATCGTTTTCCAAACTTAATTGATCGCGTCTCGGGGTGGTGTGGTGGGGGTGGGCCGTGTAAGATAGTAGTGCAGGTTATACCCCTCGTCCTGCCCTGCTTGTCTTTCGTGTCCGCTCAAGCTTCCCTCCCTGTTTAAACGCTTTGCCCGGCCCTGCTCTCACGACACGTGGGACTGAGAATCTTCCGATGCCGATCGCAACTCGAGTTTTTGTTGGTTGTGATTTGGTTGAGGTTGTATGGATCTCAAATCGGCCTCCCGATGAATGATTATATATATATATATATATATATATATATCTTTGGCCCGTCTGGGCCCTCGTGCAGTGTGTGGTTGAAACAGTACTTCCTCATAGGCCGCTTCGCGGCGTTGCTGCACGTCCCGCTGTCAGATACTGGGTATCCTGTCAGCTTCGCTGGCCCCCCGCCTGCCCCCTGAGACATAGCGATAATCCCCGTAACTTACACGCTGTAACAACCGCGTCAAAAAACTATCTCCCGTGTCTTCCACAACTTGCACCGTTCAAGTTACGTAATATCTGGCAGATCAAATTGAGATCTGGAAGATCAAGTTAAGATCTGGATGATCAAGTCAACATGATCTACCACGACTTCCCCACAACTACCAGAACTAGTCATGAGCAGATCAGTGGGGTAGGCTCAGAACACTTCTCAGAGGTCGCGGGGGGATTTCTGAGCCTTCCGACAAAGACCTCTCCTTCTCATTTCCCCCCCCTGGGCACGCCGCCGATGGATGTCGTGGCCCCGAGGGCGCCACAGGAGGCGCCCGGGAACCGACCCCTCCGACGATGGCGCCCTTCCCCGACGTCTGTCTCGAAGGACTCCTGCCGGGCCCCCAGGCAGCCAGCCCCAGGAGAACAAGGGGCCCGCGAGCCCTCCGCGCAGCCAGACATCTGACGACGTAACTTCTCGAGCAGAAGAGAAAGAAAATACATAAACATCAACTTTTGGCGCTCCTCGCGGGTCTCTTGGGTCCGCGCTGGACCCCCTCCGTGGCGCGCGAAGCGCGCCAGTGGCGGCGCCGGAGGCGCGGAGGGTCCAGCGCGGATCCAAGAAATGCGCGCGAAGCGCCAAACAGTTATCTTTATGTGTTTTCTTCTTCGATCTAAGTCCAAGGTTCCGACCCGTTCCTCGGGAAGGCAGTTTGTCGTCGCGGAACCATCTTTGGTAGGACCAAGGGCCAGACGACGTGCCCAGGAGGCCGGGATCGGCAGACGCGCCAGGATGAAGACAGTACGTGTCGCCAGAGGTCGGGGCCCACGGGGCAGGAGCTGTGGACAGACTGCTGTCCAGATTGCTTCGCGATGGTGACAGGTGGCCCCCCCCCAAACAAACCGATGCCGAGCGGTCGAAACAGACAGAGTCAAGTCGCCGGAGAACTGCTCACTCCATAGGCCACGCCGTCGGATGTCTGGGAGACCTGATCCTGGGGGAACAAGAAGCAATACTTGAGCAGGGACCGACCGTCCTGGCATTCCTATAGTCCCACCAAGAAATGTTCTGAGAACCCAAGCATGTTCCAAGAACAAGAACAATGTTCTTAAATTCCGATGTGATAAAACAAGACAGACTCCAACCAGCAATTGTCTAAGAACACTTCGTGGGAACCACAAAAGGTTCTTAGAACACTGTTTGGTAGGGCTATAGGAACGCCAGGACGCTTCGCCACTGCTTGAGGGGGGGTAGCGCTTGGGCGTGGCAGGGCGCGCCAGGGCGGGGGCGCACTGCGATCGACCTGGTACTCGCGCGAGCGCCAGCACGCGGGAGGGGGCCCTCCCTGGTCACGTCGCGATTCGCGCCCGCGCCCCTTGGAAATGATCCACTCTTGCGCAATCTTAAAGGGCGCCGGTGCGAATCGCGGCGCGACCCCCCCCCCCGCGCCGAAATCATGCCCACTATCGCCAGTGTGGTCCAGGCCAGAAGTGGAACAACTTACAACCGAGCAGAAGCAATTCTAGCCGCTGAATGTGAATTCGAACAATTTGGAACTAATTCCATCCACTGTAAGATGGATTTACAACCAAGCTCCCCGAGAAGCGCTACAGGCGTCTTAAGGGGGACGAGCTGGTCAGGTGCCGTCTGGCTCGCAGGGAATATTTCCCCCCTGCTAACGAAATGCGGGGAAACATGCTCTATGTCCTGCTTCACCTGATTCACCTCTTCCTCCTCCTCCTCCTCCTCCACTCGTTCTCCCTATAGATACCTCCCCCCTGTCGCACCCCGAGGCTAGTTTTTAGGGCGGGCCAGGCGTTTCGCCTGAGACCCCCTCACACTTTATGACTCTAATGCTTAAAAGATGATAACAACTTCACAGATGGAGGGCGTGTCGCTTTCAAAATGTGGCTCTCGCTTTAGCGCCACGCACACTCGTCATAAAACATTGCAGGAGCTTCACGGATTGAGGGCGCGTGGTTTTCAACATGTGGAAATTACAAGAGCTTCACGGATTGAGGGCGGGTGGTTTTCAAAATGTGGCGCTCGCCTTCGCGCCGCGCACACTCGTCTTTTAAATTTACAAGGGTCTCACGGGTTGAGGGCGGGTGGTTTTCAAAAGGTGACTCTCGCTTTAGCGCCGCGCACTCGCGTCTTTAATGTTTTAAAGGAGATTCACGGATTGAGGGCGGGTGGTTTTCAAAAGGTGACTCTCGCCTTAGCGCCGCGCACACTCGTCTTTAAAATTTGCAAGAGTGTCACGGATTCCCATGGCCAGCGCACCAGAAACTGTGTGTTGGAAAGGGTTCATGATTATGCGGGCGCAACAATTTTGTTGACTCGCTGTGCTGAAGTCCCCCCAAATGGCGTTCTGGCACGGTTCTGGATCGCCAAGACGCAGCAGTCAGGTTGATACGTGGCGTTGAAATCCCGAGAATAATGTTTTGGCACGTTTCAGGATCTTCAAACTGTTGTCTTCCAGCGAGGCAGTTCCCTCACTGGAAATGGACCGATGTATGGGCCTATGGCGAAGGAACTTGGAGGGAGAGTTAATTCCAACATCGTTGATGACTCTTGGGTTTCCACTGGTCCTCCTCCTCCTCCTCCTCCTCCTCCTCCCCCTCGGCTTCAAGGAGCCTGGAAGCTCTCTTGGGCCGGTCAGGGCGCCCTTTGGGTCGTCTTGGGCCCCGCTTGGGCCGTCGTGGGCGCCCTTTTGGCATGATTTGGGCGCCTCTGTTGCCCTCCTGGGCGCCTCTCTGGCCGTCCTCGGGCCGCATGGGAATATGTTGGAGCGCTCTTGGTGGCGTCGTGGGCCGTGTCAGGGTGCTCGTGGAGGCCTCTGCAGCCGTCGTGAAGGCGTCGAAGGCCAAACAGGCGAATGTGTTGAGCATGTCGGTCTGCCTCGCGAAGTCCGACAACGGTTGCTTGCGATAGTCTCTGCGAAGGTTCTCCTGGTACCCCCCTTCCACCTTTCCCTCGTCTCCCCCCTCTCCCTCCCCATCCATCACCCTCCCTCCTTCTCCCCTTCTCCCCTTTGCCCCCCTTTCTCTCCCTCCCCCCCCTCTCTCCCACTTCCCCCCTTTTCCCCCCCTCCCCCCCCCTCCCCCTCCCCATCCCTCACACTCCCCCTTCCCCCCTTTTCCCCCTCCCTCCCCCCTCGCCTTCCCCGCCCCCCTCCCACCTCCTCCCTCCCCTCGCCCCCTCCTCCCCCCCGAGCACGCCCGCCGCCACCGCCGACCGCCCGCCCCCTATCGTCGCCCACGCGCAGCCCACGCGGCCGCCTCACTCACGCTGCTTCCTCTGGCGGCGGCGCGCGGCGGCGCGGTCGGTGCGGTCGGACGCCTCCTTCGAGGAGACGTGGGGCTCCTTCTGGTCGAGCACCTCCGGAGGGCAGAGCAGGAGGGCGCCTCGAGAGGGCGCCTCGGGAGGGTGCCTCAAGAGGGCGCCGCTGGAGGGCACCTCAGGAAGGCAGGACGCAGGAGGAGGAGGAGGAACAGGAGCAGGAGCAAGCGCAGGAGGAGGAGGAGGAGGAGGAGGAGGAGGGAAAGGAGAAGGCGGAAGAGGAGGAGGAGGAGGAGGAGGAGGAGGAGGAGGAGGAGGGCCTTCATTGCGTTCACTGCCGCCATCCCGATGCATGCAAGCCGTCGCAGACACGCAGCTCTCCCTCCAAACATCCAGCGTGGGAGTCTTTCTGGTCGGGCGCCCCATCAGAGGGCAGAGCAGCCCATCTCATAAATGCGCCGCTCTGCAGGCGAACCCCTCTGGCATGAACGCACCCGAAAGGGGGAGATCGGGTCAGGTCGGGGCTGCTTCACGCAACCGCACAGGCCGCCTGGTAAACACCAGTTCTGGGGGTCGGGGCGTTTTCCCTGAGGGGCTACGGTACTGGGGAACACTTTGATTGGGGGATACATCGCCGATAGGCCCCCGATGGCAAAACCCCGCGTTCCTGGGCGGATTGGGCTATCAGTTCCCGGTCAGCGATGAGTGTGCGATTGGACATCGACGCGTTGCCCCATTGGCCATTGAGCCTGTCCCTCCATACAATTGCCTCGGGCCTGTTGTTTTTTCGACTCATAACTCGGGCCGCAGGCGGCCGTTCGGGATGATTCGCCCCCCTCCAGAACGCTCTGGACGGGGCGCGGATGATATACAACGCTCCGCGTCCTTGACACCTCAGGAAATGCCCGAACACCGTCAAAGAGCGTCTGCGATCCCGCGGCCTGGCTTCTGGGGCGCACGCGCGGACGCGCGGACACGTCCCGCGCGGGGCATCCACGAACGAACCGCCGCGCACCCGCGGGGTCGCGGCCCAGGCCCCGGCCCGCGAGGCCGCGGATACGAAGCACTGCTTCGCCCCCCGATCCGCGCCCAGGGGAGGGCCGCCGCGCCCAGGGGGGGGTACACGCTCGACGCGGGGCTTCTGCTGCCGAGGCCCTCGCACGCAAGACCTGGGCAACGGGGGGGGCGGGCGGGCCTGGAGCCGCCTTGGGTTACTGCGGGGGGCTTTTGGAGGAGCGCCCACGGGGTTCTAGGGCCATCCATCTCCGAACGCTAAAGTTTACTTTTCAGCCACGCCTGGAGATTGGCCTGGCCGAGTTGCCTGGGTGCTGGAGGCAGGCGGAAGCGCGCGAATGGTAGATGTGGTTAAACGTATGATTGTATGTTACTACAAGGAGCCGTCTTGGATCTCCCACGGGATATTCCGGAATCCGTCCTGAAGCCTCAATAAGGTTAGGATACCAATCTCCGCCCACGCACGTTCGCCGACCCCCACCTCCACCTCCGCCCGCGCACCTCCGCCCGCCGCGTCCCGCTTGCCGCTCCTTCTCCCCCATCAGCTTCCTCCTCCGTCTCGGCCTCGACCTGCACCTCCTCTTCTTCCTTATCCACCGCGTAATCTGCCTTCGCATCCGCCTCCATGTCCTCCATGCCCTCTGTTCCTCGTTGTCCTCATTTTTTCATGTCCTTTTCCTCCTCCTGATCCCCCTCTTCCAACTCCTCATTTTCATATTGATTCAAGGGCCATTCGGCCCCATGCAGGAAATGCATGGATCCTCTGCCCTTTCGGTGGCTTCCAGGTACCCAGGCGAACCTTGGAGCACTCGCGACTGCGCTGCGTACCGCGCGCAAGCAAGCCCTGCCCCCCCCTCCACCGCTTCCAGGTCCTCATCGTGCGCCTCGTCGCCTTCGCCCCTGTCCTCACATGCCCCCGCGTCTCCTCGCGCCATCGCCAGGGCACCTCGGGCCATATCGTGAACGAGAAGTCCCACCGCTGCCCCCCTACAGCGTTCTCACCGGCACCCCCCCCACTACCACTCCTCACCTCCCTCCTTCCTCCCCCTCCCCCGCCCCCTCTCCGCTCTCGGAAATCAAAATTGGCACCAGCGCAGTCCCCACTCCGCTCTCGGAAATCCAATTTGGCACTGGCAAATTGTAGATCCACACTCGGGGCCGCAGTGGGCAAAAAACACAATGTAGATCTACACTGGGGCGCCGCGATGGGCAAAAGCGCAATGCAGATCTACGCAATGGAGCCAGACAGCGATATACGCTAGACCCACCTTAATGTAGATTTCGCAAAACGGACGCGAGAAATCTACACTACCACAATCCTTGTGTAGATCTGGGGAGCCCCGAACAAATCTACATTCGCCAAATGATAATGTGGATTTTGGACACGCGCCGCGCAAACATCAAATTCACACACACGCTCGTGGAAATGAGCGCCGGGTGAAAAGAGAAGGCCAAACGACAGTGTAGATCCACACTGTGGACACTGGGAACGGCAAACACTAGTGTAGATCTACACCAACGGCGCCAGAATCGGCAAACCGCAAGGTTGATCTACAGTAAGGGCACCGGAAGCGGCAAACGACACCATGCATGTACCTTCTCGGGGAAGGGGCTCCCGCTATCCCCTCGTGTGGGTCTGGCGGGGGGGTACGCGAGGCTTCGGCGGGGACCACTGAATTCCTGGTACGGCAGGTTCGTGCCGTGTCGACCTGTGCGTTGGTCCCTGACGCCGCGAGGATCGTTCAACCTTGAACGATCGGCCGCTGCCGCAACGTCCGATCGTTCAACATCGATCGATTCTGGGTCGCCGGCGGCGTTCAACCTTGAATGCCCGCGCTGGGGTCGCCGCTGGTCGACACGACGCAAACCTACCGTAATTGCCCACCTCTGGACTCCAAAACGGCACCAAAAGACTTCCTCAACAAAATCCAAGAGGGCCCTGGGATGCCCCCCAAAACAGCTCCAAGAAGTGTCCAACGGAAACACAAGAAAAAGGAGAGGAGACGGAGGATGGAAAACAAGGACGCGGAGGAACAACGCAAGGAACACACGAAGAGGAGCAGGGGGCCCCAAATGGCGACCGTGGGCAGAGTAGGACGCATGCAAAAAAACACAGAAAGGAAACTGATGCGAATTATTGCAATGGAAAAAAGCAAAACGCGCGGGGTAGGCGGAGGAACGGGGGGGGCGCGAGAAAAGGGCACAAATAAAGGCGGGCGCAGGAGGACAACGAAAACGATGAGACTTCTTTGGGAGGGCGTGAAGAAGGCAGGGGGACGAGGAGGAAGTTGTGGATAGCGACGAGGAGCAGGGGCAGAAGCGGGCAGAGGAGGAACTCGAAGGGCAGAGGGAACGAAAGATGATAAAGAGGAAAAGGCCGCAGGGATATGACAATAGACATCGGGGGGATGGAGAGGGTAGAGGAGGGGGGATGAGGACACGAGCATACTTTGGGCAAGTGGCACGCGGCGCCAATGAATGCAGCCGGACCAACTTTCAAGGTCGCGCATAGACGATTTTGTGATGTCGGGTGGTTGTAGCCACGCGACATCAAAATCTACTCCACTGCTCGGGGCGCCCCCCCAGTGGAAGCTCCTATAGAGGTGGGCCTGAGCAGCCCCTCGTTGTAAGCCAAGAGCCCTTCCAGTCTTAGGTCGGGCGTGTCCTCCTGCGGGCGGGTTTTGGGCGGAACAAGAATTCAAGACGTAGTCAGAAATAGTATTACATTAAAAGGAAAATTGTCCCCGTACTATTTTTTGACTATTTCTGAATCTTGCCCCTGTAGAGGGCGAGGGGTTCGCTCTCCGGGAAAAGGGTTCGCTCTCCGGGAATAGGGCTCGCTCTCCGGGCGTACTACCGAATATTTGTAGATTCCTAGGGGTCCTTCGGGAAAGGTTAGTTCCCCGGGTGCGACCTCATCGAGGACCAGGACACTTCTGTCCAAAACCGACTTTCGTAAATCGCAATATGCGGCCCTTAAGGCGCCACAGAGATTGCCCATTAATATGGCTTCTCTTGCCCGGAGAAGGAACTCTTCTGGGTAACATTACGAAACTACATGTGGCGACCAAGTTCGTAGCACCTCGTAGCTACCAGCTCGTAGTTAAGACTTAGCAGATAGTACGTAGTAGTTGGTATGTAGTGAAAAACAGCGGCCCAAACGATATTAACAATCGGTTGTTAGTAGCTAGCAGTATGTAGCAAATACTACGTAGTTAGTAGCTACTATGTCGTAGGTAGCAGTTGCTAACTTGTGGTGTGTAGCCAGTACTTAGTAGTAGTAGCAATAATAATAGTAGTAGTTGGTATTGAAGTGGTAGTACGAGTAGTAGTAGTTGGTGTAGTAGTAGTAGTAGTAGTAGTAGTAGTAGTAGTACTACTACTAGTAATAGTAGTAGTAGTGGTAGTAGTAGTAGTAGTAGTAGTCGTAGTAGTCGTAGTAGTAGTAGTAGTAGTAGTAGTAGTAGTAGTAGTCGTGGTAGTAGTAGTAGTAGTAGTAGTGGTAGTAGTAGTAGTAGTAGTAGAAGAAGTAGTAGTAGTAGTAGTAGTAGTGATAGTGATAGTAGTAGTAGGAGTAATGATAGTAGTAGTAGTAGTAGTAGTAGTAGTAGTAGTAGGAGTAAGAGTGGCACTAGTAACAGTCGTAGTAGTAGGAGTCGTAGTAGCAGTAGTCGTAGTAGTAGTAGTAGTAGTAGTAGTAATAATAGTAATACTAGTACCCGTAGTCGTAGACGTAGAAGTAGTAGTAGTAGTAGTAGTAGTAGTAGTAGTAGTAGTAGTAGTAGTGGTAGCAGTAGTAGTAGTAGTAGTAGTAGTAGTAGTAGTAGTAGTAGTAAAAGTAGTAGTCGTAGTCGTAGCCAGTAGTAGTAGTAAGGTAGTAGTAGTAGTAGTAGTAATAGTAGTAGTAGTCGTAGTCGTAGTCGTAATCGTAGTCGTAGTAGTAGTAGTAGTAGTAGTAGTAGTAGTATCGTCGTCGTCGTCGTCGTAGTAGTAGTAGTAGTAATCGTAGTAGCAGAAGTAGTAGTAGTAGTAGTAGTAGTAGCAAGTAGTAGTAGTAGTAGTAGTAGTAAGTAGTAGTAGCAGTA